ACAATTTATAATTAGTGGTATTTTTTGAAATGGACAAACCATAGTTGCATTTTTGCAAATGTGCACACCAAAAATGGTATTTTTTGCAATTGTCCATAGAAATCATAGGGTACTAATGTGAAACTCGAGAGATTTTAGTGGTTCTAGTCTATGTCCACAATTTATCAATAGCATAATAAGACTTTCTCACTTTCTATTTAGAATGTTCAATCATAACTATTTACATCGATTTAATTATGACGTATATAACTGAAAGTTAAGATTTTTAAGACGAAATTGAACTGTTTTGCAAGGGAACACCCGTATGTTTGATTAGAAAATGAAGGATATACTTGAGCAATATTCAAGAATTGGTTCAGACAATGAAAGACGTTTGATATAATGTCTCTCAAAATTGGGCCATTTCTTCATTCGGGTTACAATTTCAAAGAATATTTCAATAGCTTCTACAATTTCATGTCGTTATCTCTCTATCTTTACTTCATTTTATCTTTTTGGCATCATCTATAGTGATCTTTGTCTCTTTCCCTATCCATACTACAATTATGATGATCTATATGTGTCAATGATGGTCGCATATACTGCCTCTCTCTCCACTTTTTCTTTTAAAGAATCTTGAGGTGACAATCTGTAAAAGAGGATAAAGATCATATCAAACATAGAAACGTATAAAAAAAATACAAACTATTTTAGAAACTTTATTTAATCAGTTACGTACTAACAAAACACCAAGTGAGTACAACACATGCTACATATCCTAAGACACACAAATCTAGTACCGATAGAGGAAGTACTGTCACAAATGGTCGTTCGTATAGTGATGCCAATGAATTCTATCATTTACAATAATTTTGCAAAACATGTGATTAATTGTAACCAGATCATAATACTTTAGATAAAAGCAAAACCTAACACGGCGTAGGAACATACTGCAAAACATTAAGACCCTTTAAATATTCAGAACATGTATCTATGTTATTTTGTTAGGAAAGAGATGCACAAAGAAGCACATGCAAATCTACTCATCTGTGTAAAATAAATAAAAAGGTAATTGGTTCACCTTGCTCAGAGAACCGATTTTTCAAAACAGTCCAAAATCTTTTTAAAAAAATTATTACCGCCCATATCTGCAAAGTATAGAATAGACCAATAAAACTGAAATCTAGATTTACTAAAAAATATAAAATCTAAATATGCAATAAATAGTTCTACCATTCTTAATGTCATCTTTGAAACGTATCCACTCTTAGTTTACTACGTATACACCAAGAACTGGAGATTAGACGCCAAGGGCAGTAGAGAATTCGAATAAAATCTAAATGAAGCTAAATTTTAGAATTATGAGAAACTATGGTTAACATACCATTTCTCCAGGGACGAAATTAATGTTGTTGTCTTTGGTTTTCTTATTCTTAAAATCCCAGTAACAAACTCCTAAAAACATAGAACGAAAAAAAAACTAGAAAAAGATCTTATATTAGCCCCACCGATCTTCTTCAAACTAAGGAGATGTTATTGGATTAGTTTTTTTTAATACATTTTATTGTATTTGTATTTGGGAGTATTATGGTGGATTTTGATGAATTCCCCACTTTATATTGGTATTTTGTTGTATTTTATTGTAATTGTATTTGAAAGGATTTTTCTTTCCTACTGAATTTTCAAAAAGATTTCGTTTTCTGTTTTTTCTCTAATTTCAAGGATTAACAAATATAAAATCCAATTTATTATAGTTTGTTTCATATATGATCTGTGTGTATTGGAATTTGAAAGATATGGTCGAAAATGGTGGATGAAACTACTTTAGAGGAGCCTATTTCTCAATCTCAGAGAAAACATGAAAAGATTGGAAATATTTTCCTTCTCTTTTTATAATCTAAAATCCATCAAAATCAGAAGTAAATATCACATATTTTTTTTGTTCACGTTTTCAAGAAAAAATACTTTAAAATCCAATAGAAGTAAAATTTCCTAAAATCAAGAATACATTGAATAACAGTTGTTTTTATTGTATTTTAGAAACACACCAAACAAATACTTTATCAAATAACAGAAGATTTTAATGTATTTATATCAATACAGAATTGAATAACACAGATTCCATTCTGATTTTAAAATACATTAAAAACACTAATTCCGAAATAAATTCAAAGAAAATTTATATCAAAGAAAATTTTCAAAAAACTAATGTTGGAAATAAATTAATAAATCAAATATTTGTTTACTAACAATAAAATAAGGTGTATTTTTCAACATGTAACACACTTGTATTGTGTTCAAATCATGACTATACACTTTTTAGAATAATATAGAATAAATCAAATATGTTTACTCATATCTATCGTACGTGCCAAACCAATTGGCTTGCATGTACTTGTTTTTTCTCCAATGACACATGCATTTTCTTGTCTCTCAAGCATCTCTTGCCCGCAAGTTACAATATCTCGATCAGAGATCAAAGCCTCTCTATTTGTTTGACGTAAACTTCCTGCAATCGGCTAATGAGTTTTTTTTTTTTAATTTTCATTGCTTTTTGCCTCCTCAAACTCTGCCCCAAACGATAACTCGATCACCTATTCGCATCTCGAATTTCTTTGAACTCTTATCGGTCCACGATCTCTTTGTATTCGTGTTTCCCCTGATTTTATAGGATATCCAGATTAATATATATAAAACAAAGTGAAATATAAGAGTAATTTATGTGTTTTCGTAGTTGTACTTGCAAAAATGAGTCAAATGACATTCTTCTTCGAGATAAAATCTGTAAGAAGTAGAAACACTTACTATTTGCGAGTTTACCTTAGACGGCAACACGAATTTTTTTTCAAGAGGCTTAATGACTGCAAGGTGTCGTAATGTTAAAAATAACACTATACCTCAATTCCTTTCATTAGTTTCATAGAAACAAAGAGACCATATCATCGATTTCACGGAGAAGAAAAGAGGGGCATGCCGCATGTGCATCTTAATCAAAATCATAAAGAAAACAACATATAAAAGCTTAACCAAAAACATAATGAATTCTTTTAACAAATTACATGATTTATAAGTTTAAGAGAATGTGTCAACTTAGGAACTCTAAAGAAAAAGATATTCTTTTAAACATATATATTAAAAAAACATATTATAAAAAGACAAAAAAAACAAATATATTATAAGTAAAGATAAAAAAATTAACTATGCATTGTTAACTAATTGATTTTCATTGCATCCTCAATTATTTTTGAAAATTGAAAAGACATTTCATGATTCATAGAAAAACTTTAATTTTTTTGGCAACTATGGTTTATTACGGTTTTTGTTAAAACTATAAAAATATTAAAAAGAAGGCAGAACAATTATGTAAGAAAAAAAATAAAAATTTACAGCGTTGACATGAAAGGGACATTTACATGATCCTACATTTGCTTGAGAAGATTTATTATTGTGTCTTGAAAAGTTACATGCTACAGTTGATGATGGCATGACAAAGAAAAATACATGCAAGACAAAAAACAGAGGAAAACATAAGAAAAAAAATATGTCGATTAGCAAACCAATTGTCATCTTCCAATTTCAATCAATGCCATATAGAGATAACCGAATTCAAAAACTAACAACATAAATTTTGAGAATACCTCATATCGATGGAGAAAGGCTTGATGTTGATGTCGGAGATTGAACTCATTAAAACCTACAAAATGACAAAATACAAAAATCAGTCAAATCTCAACCATGCCAAAAACATCGAACAATGATAATACCGATTGTAAATGTTTAAACGCAAAAAATAAAATAAAATAAAAATGATGAAGCTATGTTTTGAATTTGATATGATGACTAATATGTGTCTTATATAGTGAATGAAAATTAACTAATTAACATTTAGGGTAGCCGCAAATAGTTAATAAGTTTATTCCCTTAATTAGTGAATATTCCTTAACCGCTCAATTTAGTTAAAGATTTCTTATATTATCGCATCAATTTTCCAAAGATTTGAATTTTTAATGTTTGTAATTTCAGAAATCTTTCTAACTAATTGCTGGTTTATTATCTTGGAAAATTTTCGAACTTTTAATTTTTCTAATTATGGAATATTGATGATAACTAATTAATTACTTTGAAACATTATGATTTATTTTTGGTAGATTG